CGGATTGCTACAGACGTGTTCTGTATTACCGGCCCACGCGGGAAGTAGGATTAGGTCTTTCTTTAGATCGTCTGTTTTACCATACGGGATTGTAACGAATAAAATATATTTAACAAAAGTATATTCTTTAAAGTTATTAATAACCGAATTATATATATATTACAAAATCTTCTATCTCTTGCTTCACAAATGCTCTTCACCCTTCCACTGCTTCCGCTCGATTGACTGTCCTACAGCCGCTACTCCTCCTGCAACAGACGCTAAGAGCTGGAGTTCCCTCCCGCGCACACCAACCACTTGCGGCGTTCGTCGGTATCCCGGAAACGAACTCTCTTTCCGCTTTGGCGGGTCGCGGTAGACGCCGCCTCATAAAAATTTTCTGGCCATGTCTACCGCTTTCTTTGTCTAACTCATTTCTTTCGTGCTATCCTTGTCTACCTTTTTGGAATCAAACAATTCGTGTAATAAAACTAGAGTAGATAAACAGGTCCGCCTCCACGGGGTAGGGGCGGGCAACGTCAGGACCTTGGTCCTGGCGGTAAAGAGACCTGAAAATAAGGACATAAAATAAAATAAAGTAATAGTAAAAATTAAATTAAATTATAACACACGAGGAAATAAATATATATATATATCACGCCACAAACATTACTAACAATATTGGAGGACAAAGTTACAGTTACCTGTATTGCAATACTTTCACGATATTGCTAAAAGGCGGCAATGAGCTCGCGCTCGATCACCGCAAAATGATGTTGATATAAAATTTTAAAAAATATCCTTATCTACCGCCATTCGTTTCCTTATCTCTCGTCGCTGTTGCTATCCTCGTCGCCTCTATTACATTTAATTGAGATTTATAATTGATTTTGAATTGCTTTATCGTTACTAATATTGTAGATATAGTAAAATATAGTGTCTGGCTTATTTTCAAGTACTATAATTATAGAATTATTAGTGTTTCTTGTTAAATAACAATTTAAATGGTAGTTTATAAGTATTGGAGCTCTTAAATAAAATTGTTACATGCTTTAACTTAATAACATACATTAATAAATTTGCAATAATTATTATTAAAAGCGAACAATTCAAAGAAATCTCGTTATACTGCAATAAAAAACTACATTTTAAATTTCCCGCGAAAATCAACGAACTAAAGTTAGCATCTTAAAGCCACGTCACTAGACACTTACTTCCAGTATCATTCTGAGCTCCTGATCCAAAGATCTGAAAATTAAAGCTCTGTCATAACCAAATTCACTGAATTATCTTCTATCTTACTTCCACATATAACCTCTCTGGCCAAAATCTGCACTGTCATTCTGTTTTTCCAACGCAAAAATCTGGAATTTACCAGAAATTCACAATTATACCAATCATAGTTTCATACTTTTCTTTTTGTTTCTTTTTATCCATTTTAACCTTACAACCAGCAATCTAAACCACGAAACATGATACGATGGATGATTTGATTAAGTTCTATGGTTTCCTAATCGATATTCGTGACTGGCATTCTCATTGTTGCTTATCTATTTCGTTTAATCGATTATCGTGATTGGCCATTGGCGTAATTACTGATTTGGTTAACAAACGACAATGACTAACGAAATATTCAACTTTCGTCATAGGCTTATACGGTTATTACTTAATTATCCGTCCGTTATAATGGTGATTTAATTATTGTTTCCGTCCATGGGATAATAATGGTTGTTTACTATATTGAAAATAACTCCGGAATAATTGAGAATTATTGTTAGCGTTCTATTCACGAATAATTATTCGGTTATTATCTGTCACAGCGAAGAGAAGAATGGAATTTAATTTTCTTTTATCGCGTCTCGTTAATTTTCCAATTCGACTCCACTCGTAAAAAAAGGGACGTAAAACGAGATCGATTTATCGTTATCCACCTTCTCGAACTCGGAACAAAGGGTCGTTTTTACGACGCGATTTTGAGGAACGAATCAAACTGATGATAAATTTACCTCTCACCAAGCAATCGGTGATTCATTCTTTTCTTCTTTCAATTGCAAAAATTACAGTCTTTGCCCTTTCACTTGTTCCACAAAAATTATTTTCAAGAATTTCAACCCAAAAATATAACGTCAACTTAATCGAGCTTCACAAAATTCACAAAATCCAAGTTCACAGAAGTGAAAAATAAGGAGGACAAAGTGTGATGTGATTTCTTAAGAATTTCCCCGGATGAAAAAATTCATTTTGTTAATTTTTAACAAAACGAAAGATCGGACGACGTAGAAATTCTTTTTGTCCTTTGTTTTTTGCGCGAAGGAATTTTTAATAACGCATCCTATCTGTCTGCTTCGATACGGGAGGACAGGTCGGTGCAATTCTGTTGAATTCCTTCGTGGAACGCGTCGAGGAGTAGTGACACTCGGCGAAGAAATGGAGAAGAGACTGTAAACTTGCGTAATGTTCCGAAGTTCCGCGATTAGAGGTGCCTCAGGCGTCCATCGGCCAGAGCCTTGACATTTTCTACGTTTCTTTCTGCGTGGCTCTGCCACGGGGACCTTTTCACCGCGACCAGAGAAAAATAATTGTATTTAAGATCGACATTATCGATTTCGAACGCTGTTTGGTACAATTCAATTGGAGAAATTCGGTTTAGAAGTGGTTCAGTGCCGCCATTTTGGTGAACGGTGGTTGGAAGTGAGATTAGAACGCAGGAAGAGGGAAAATAAGAGTATCGCGGTAGTTGAATAGTATAGCGCATCATTAGTGGCATTTTTATTAATACTTTAAAGGATAGTAGTTGTTAAATCAGTGATTGGAATAATACTATTTTAGTAGAATCGTGAAAGATACGAATTTAGGGCAACGTGGGGAAAGAGGATTCGCTATTTTATTTTATTGGTAATAATTGTAACATTGAAAAGAAGACTACAGTGGGTGATGAAGTTATTACGAACACTTGGAAATTGTGTCTTACTTATTTGAAGTTTGAACAAGAATGGAATTGAAAGTACACTTAAAATGAAACCTTTTTTTATTACAAAATGTATTGTTATGGTTCTAATATTTAAAGAGAATTCTAAAATTTCTACGAATTATTGAAAATTTTCAAAAATATAGACATCAATATTTAATTGCTCGAATACGTCTCGACGTATTTTCGATACTTTTTCTGCAGATTTCTTTTATTCCGGCGTCAGAATGCCGTACCGATATATGCTTCTCTGTCACTTCCTGTTTATTAGTTATCATTTCTGATGCAATCCTACGTTTTAATCATTCCCATAGGTTTTCTATTGTATTCATATCCGGTGAATTACCAGGCAACGATAGAATTTAAACATTCTTTTAGCTGTGTAAGCTGTCAAAATATAATCAAGTTGTCTATCTATGTGTTAAGAACAAAACAAAAGGATGTATTCTACTATTATTGAACACATCAAATTTGTAACTTTTTAATCTGATCACTCACTGTAGCATGAATTTTTTTTGGATTTATGCCACATTGTACAACTTATTGTACGATAATTACAGTCGGTACATTACCGGCCAAAAGTTTGGAATCACCTGCCAATTTACATTAACATCGAATCTGCTGCTAATTCTTTATTGATTTGAAATTGATGTTGTAGAGATCAACAGTACTTTACCTCGTGTCGATTGATTTGAATGACAACAAATTCCTTAAAAAATTATTATAAACGTTAACATTTTCGGGAAATTTTTGTGCAACTTGCAATGCACAGTGATTCCAAACATTTGGTCGGTAGTGTAGGTACCTGTTACTGGTATTTAGTACAAATGAAAACTTGCACTAATTTGCACAAATATAGCATAAACTAATAAAAAAGAAAAGTCTAGAAACAAACAAACAGTTCTCACTGATACCATTAACATCGATAAACCTGTCGTAAAAGAAACGACTCTAACAGACCTCTCGAAGCAATCTCAAACAACAATACGTTACTTCCAATAAACTTAACCGAACCCTAACAGTTTCAAAACTTCCCATAATCCTTCAATCTAAAACATATGTACTTTAATATACAGGATGCTTAAAGGAAATATGAATGTAAGTGTAACTTGATAAAGTTGATAAGGGATATAAAGTAAAGGTTCTGAAAAATTTAACAATACGAAGGAATGTTGCATCTCTTTTACGTAAGCCACTGTATAGTTATACCTTGAGCTAATAACGCCATTTTGCCCCAAAAATCAACGGTACATATAATCATTTTGTTCAATACTCTTCTCACTTACACCGTTTTCCTGCAAACCGGGAAGGTAATTATTATTAAACGTAATAAAAACCGGATCTGTTTCTTGAGGCAGACATTATGTTTCTACCGCTTCATTAATTACCAAACAAATTATTAAAAAAAAATTGAATAAAATGTATAAAACATGGTTTACATCGTTATGAATTTAAATCGAAAAATACTAACGAGTATGACACAGAAACTATGTGGATAGCGACAAACTCTTATTCATCGCTCAGTCCTTCGAAATCCAGAGGTCCAATGTCATTTATCTCACGCCAAAGACCGACTTACACCTTCATACAACGTACACACCATTCGAGTGGGTGGTCAAATGAAGATATCCTTACGCCACTTCTGCGCAAAACAGAAGGAAGGTTAATCTCGAACAGGCAAAAAGTTCAGTTACACCACTTTTGCATTAAACGGCTCATATACATTCGCATCTTTGCAGAAGAGAAGAAACTGTTGACAACGATGACGAAGAAGTGGAAACTCTTCGAACACCAGGTACATTTATTATCAGTGCTGTCTCTCTAAAAAAAAAAAAAGAAACGTCACTTTCATAAAACTGTTAACAATTTCTTTCGAGCGCCATGTACATACTGAAAAATATCTCTTGTGCAACATGGTATTCCCCCTAAGAAGAGGAACATTTTGGCCAGCAGGTAGAGGTGGAGGAAACGAACGGAGCACGAGGAGGAAAGAGGTGGTCGAGGAGTGTGTTTTCACGCGGGCAAAGATGATAAAAGCTGGCGAGGAAGAGGAGGCAGGTAGTTTCGGTTTTGGATACGACACAGCAGGAGCTCGTGATGACCTCGACGATGATCGTTCATCCGCTGATCGCCTGCGGCCTCTTCTTAGGCCTCGCGAGCTGTGAGTAGAGATGATCGTATACATATTCGAGAAAGTGAAAACGTGGATGCTTCGGAGCATACTAAATTCATCTTTTATTTTCACTCCTCCGAAAATTTCTCTGTCTTGGTCAGTGGCATTTCCTAATTTCCGCTCCTCTTCTGTGTCGACAGCGGTAACAGTTGATAAGAATAATTGTTGAAAAAGTGGAAAAAAGTTGATGCTCCGTCAACAGCCTACTGTTTATTTTTGATTTTCGGTCAGTGACATTTCTCGTGTACTGCTACGAGTACTGATAATTGTTCGGTGTTGCCATAGTATGGCGATTCTTGGAAATATTATTACAATAGTGGTGCTTCAGCCATAGGAATAATAATTTTTACTTTTGTATTTCGTTCAGAGAAGAAGGGAATGGTCGACGTTGCATTATTGCTGTCGTTATTACTTTCTAAACAAGGAGTAGTAATATTGGTTTGGTGCTACCAATAGTGTGATGGTTATGAAAATATCCAATTTTACCAAGTATCAATTTTCTTTCTATTTATTGCAAAGGGGAGTAGGTGAAAGAGGGAAGAAAATATACACTACAGGCCAAAAGTATGGAATCACCCGTCAATTTTCGTCAATACTGAATCTGTTACTAATGCTCTGTAGATTTGAAATTGACGTCGCGGAGATCAGTAGCAATTTCCCTCATTTCGACGGATTGGAACGATAAAAAATTCTTCTGTCTGAAAATTTTTGCGCAACCTGCAATGCACAGCGATTCCAAACATTTGACCGGTAGCGTACGTTAGTTTTCAATTTGAAACAATAATATTTTCACGTTCACCGGGGGATATAGTTTACTGGAGTAAACGTAGAGCGAAAATGGGAATGTTCCTGCGGTTACTATTAGGTCATCCAATAAGTTTCTACCGAAGTTTATAATTCAGCTCAATATTTCCAACAACCTTTAAATTTGATAGAAAAAAAAAAAGGGAGTGCCTTCTCATACCACAACTTTTTTCTGTGTTTTTCGGTAAGACCATTACGTCGTCGCTGCAGAATTTCCTTGGATTTTTATTCAAATATTTTACTCTTTCGGCGCGAACTTATGGGACGACCTAATATACAGGACGAGTCTCCTAATAATAACTCGTGAATTATTCGTTGTACGAAAAAGTGTTTCGAAGAAAAGTTGCATGGTATCCAGGGGGACATACAGTGCTCCAATCTGTTTTTCACCACCATACTTTTCTATCGAGATATTAGGGTCACATTCAGTTTTTTAAATAGAACGTCTAATATTTCTTCTCGAATTCGGATAAACCGTTAAATGTTGCGTGAAAAAGTGTTATACAAAGTGGGACTTAAAATGAATAATTACTAAGCAAACAAAGTCGTGCTAAGAATCACGCTGACTGAGAGTATTTCCTAATAGAAGATTGTTAATTTGAAGATATCTCGGTAATTGTTCATTTTAAGCCCCACTTTGTAATAATACTTTTTCACGCAAAATTTGATGATTTCATTCGAAGAGAAATATTGGACATTGCATTTAAAAAAACTGAATGTGAGCCTAATATCTCGATAAAAAAGTAAGATAATAAAAAACAGATTAGAGCACAGTATGCCCCCCTAGGTACCGTGCAACTTTTGTTTGAAACATTTTTTCGTACAACGAACAACTTACGAGTTATCTGAAGTCGTCGTGTTAGGAGACTCACCCTGTATATTGTACTAAGTGAGCTACTTGTGGGTACCGCAGCTCTCCTATAATTAACACTGGCTATAGTAATGGATTTGTGGATTGGGTACGGTGACGCGTTATTAGAATTTCCATAATTAATAATTCATCGAACATTCGACTGAATTTAGTGCTTCTGAACGACCCAATATACCGAGCAACGAATAAATTTCATTCCTGTTTGGAAGTGACGTGGTGTAAATGATTACCCGCGAAGTTGTGTAACAAAAATATATTTATTGAAACGGTAATGCTTAAACTAATTTTAGATGTAAGACGATACGATACGATAAAGGCCTCGTGTCTTTTTCGGGGCTCCCTTAACACATTAAGGACCGCTCACGAGTTTTCTCGTGCTGCGCGCCCCATCTGTCGCGGACCGCTCACGAGTTTTCTCGTGCTGCGCGCCTCGTCTGTTACGGACGGATCACGAGACAAACCCGTACTTTGTCCATTTAAGTGTTAATATCAATAGTCAATGTATTAACCGTTTTCGTCTCATCCACACCGAAGAGATCAATCCCATTGGTGGAAACCGTACAGGTCAAGCTATGAAAGACTGTATAAATGCACGAACCCGAAATAAAAACAGCTTAGTCTCAGAGAAAATTCGACACGTTGCATTGCATTTTGGTGATTCGAATAGTCTTCGTCTTCGAAGCGAATCAAGATATATATGTAAATTTTGTATGGTTCCTCTTCATAGAGAAAAATCTTTCACGCAATATCATACTTTAAAAAAGTACTAGAAACTTTGGTAAAATTGATTTTTAAATAAAATTTTATGATAATTATTAAAAAACATAATTTTTTTTCAATAATACCTAAGATGCATCCTATTTTACAATTTCTGAAAGTTTCGCAAAAATTGCTTCATAAATAAAAAAGTAATGAGGATTTTAGTAACGTGCAAGCTTGCCCAAAAACGTGCGGTCCTAGGCGTATGTCTTATAGATTTCTTAGCGGTCCTTAATGTGTTAAGTAGCCCCTTTTCCCTGGGAAAGTCCCAGGAAGTGGAGGCGCGGGTCTGCATTGCCGAGGCAATACTCTTGTCCTCGAGGACGAAGAAACTCGGAGATGTTTGGAGAAACATCTCTCGGTTCTTCGTGTTAGGACACCAAGGGGACGATTTTATGATACGTGATTTCTAGTTCAGCAAACTGTTACTTTAATTTAGCAGACCGGTCTGCAGCCAACATGCGGCACGTAGAATTTCTCAAATATTAAAGAATAGGCTATTGCTCAGTCGGTAAGGCAAGGGATCATAAAGTCACCCCCAAAGGGTCTTCGAAACCGATGCAATTACCGAGGCCTCTCGGTACCTGACCTCCCGAACGAGTCGGAGAGTCAGAGTTGACCTGGCCGGGTTTTTCCCCCTTGTTGTCAAATTTCCGTCCAGCAAGGACCAGCTTCGTCACCCCCGCTCCAAGGACGTGACGCGCTCCAGGCGCAATGGAAGAGAGTAATACGGGGTTGGTCGCTTAGTAATTTTAAGAACCTCCCTTCGCGTCCCTTCTTCAAATTTTAGAGGATTTGGAGAAGGGACGACTCGATAAGAAGGCTGACTTAGCTTAAGACCACAGAGTGTTAGTACACAGACCATCAGTTACATTAGGAATCTTAAAGATTCAGTCAGACTCTCAACGCAATACATTCAGTCTTCAGACGGCACCTAGTGCAATATTCAAAGTACCAGAGTGCTTAACACTTCGCCTCGAGGGCCAAGAGTCGCCAGGCCTAAGTGCGTGTGCCCCCCGTGGCGGTCGCCACACCTGCAACTCCCAAGTTCAATTTTTCTTCGAGAGTCCTTTCTTCACAGGGATTCTCAAAGCTTTCGTGAAAATATTTACTGGCCAACGGTATAAAAAACATTTTTCTCCATAGTTTCCTCGTAGTTTCAATCGGAAGCACGACGAACCTTGCAATTCTTCTACAAATGCATACACTACTCTCCCGCACCATCTTCTTGCATCGGTACTCCGCAGACACCGACTAATTCCTTAGGATTTCTCGACGCGAAGAATATTTTCCCGGTAGCGATGAATATTAACCGATAAATTTCTTCAATTATCCCAAGGCTCGAAGAATCATCGGTTCAGTTATGGTTTCAAGTGCGCATCGAGGGATCTCGCTTATTCCATTCGCGTGAACAGAATCGTCGAAGGAAAGTGTACGAAGTTGAACGGAGATAACGAGAAAATATCTGGTTTACCGGGATTGAGAAGTATCCAATCGACGAAAATAGTCGCGGTTTGTTAAAATTCATCCATTGACGCGTTAAAGCGGCACCGTTCAACTGTTGTTGCGCCATTCTGTCACGTTTTACGCGTCCATTCTCCCAGAATAATTCTCATCCTCTGTGTAACGATCGAAATCTGCTGCTTCTCATTAAGGTTATCAGGATGATCACTCTTCGACCATTAACTATTAACCACGATTCCAAGTTTTTCGCTTCGTTTCGACCTTCTGGAACGATCGAAGCTTTTTGCACAATTTTTATTCTCGCTGGACCGAGGAATGGAAGGTCACTTTGCTGAAATATTCGGAATTTTTCAGACGATGCTAGATAGTTAATGGAGAACTGTGAATTAGCGAAGGGGAACTTTGGAGAATTATGGAAGAGAAAGAACGAGAAACGTTTCTTAGGTTTTAGATTTTAAGGAAAATTGTTCGTTAAGCGACGAAATCTTGTTTCATCGAATTCTGGATTATTTCCATGGGGTTATATGCTGGTTTTTTTTTTCATATAGGGTCTTACGTCGCATCAACATCGAGGTCATCAGCGACGAGCTTTCACAATGACTTTAGATTTCGTGGAAGAGGTTTGTCGCGTCGCGTTCTCCTTTGATCATTCAAAATGTTCGCGCTCACGACTGTTACCCGCAAACTTAATCTTAGGTAACCAATTCGAAAATTTGTCTTGCTCGGAACGTTAGCCACGAAAACGATTGACGACTTGTTTTAAACTCGAGTATTCGATCACGACTCCTACTTGTGTCTCGTTGAATGGCTGGAGAAAGTGCTGTTCACACGAGAGAATCCTTGCGAACGTGTTTCTCGATCCCCGAATTTTTCTGGAGTCCGCCGTGACTTCCCCGCCAAGCGCAAGAAGGCACGCTGATTGGTTTTTTCACGTACGCACAAATTACCAATCAACGTGCTGTTCACACGAGAGAATCCTTGCGGACGTGTTTCTCGATCCCCGAATTTTTCCGGAGTCCGCCGTGACTCCCTCGCCAAGCGCAAGAAGGCACGCTGATTGGTTTTTTCACGTACGCACAAATTACCAATC